GGGCGGCCAGGCGGTGCAAGGGGATGGCCTGGGCCAGCTGCACCACCAGGTCGCCGCAGTAGAGGTACCTGCGGAGAGTGCGGACATGGGGAGGGGTCGGAGCGGGCCAGCCCGCGGAGCTTTCTGAAGCCGGAGGGGGCCTGGCCTGAGGGGGAGAGCTCCGTGATCAGAGGCACAAACCCAGCGGTGGGTCCCGAGGCTTCCTGTCCTTTCCTCTCACGCCCATTCTGCTTCCCAGCCTCCTCTCTCCATTTCTCGTGGGGACATATGAATAGCATGTGTTTATTGAGCACCTACTAGATGCCGAGCTCTATGCTCCATTGCGGGTGCCGATCCACGGCCCTATCAGCTGTTTGCTAAGAGTGGACGCGTCCTTTAACTGCACTCACCACTCAACCTTCTGTCAAACTTCCAGGAAAGGGGGGAATAACATACACCCCTCGGGGTTACTGTGACCGTTGGGGAGTGAGCGATACTTGCTGCAGAGCAGGTGGTCACACAGGTTAATTCCATTCCTGTTCTCACTCTTGCTCACTCATTCTCTCCCCACCTGCCGCCAGTCCCCTGCTCGCCCTGCCTGCCCGTCCCCACTGGCACACACCCAGTGGCCCCAACACCCACGTCTCCCCTCTCCCAGCATTTCAGCTCTGCGTGTTTGCCTCTGGGAAGAGAGGAGATTTCCCAGGCTTGTGACTAAACTCTAGCCAGTGAGATGTCAGCAGCGGTGCAGGATGGGATTGAGGGGAAGGCTGGTTAAGTAGGACCACCTGGGGGAGCAGAGGGAAGACCTTTTCCCTTCTGTGTTACCCCTCTTCCTGTTGCCTGGGTCTTGGATGTGATGGCTGGGATCCTGGCAGCCATCTTGTCTAAGCCATTAACACAGGGTCACTTCCTCAGACTAGAGTGTGAGTGGCACCCCTTGAGCTGTGCATTGGCAGGGGGCAGGAGGGGGAGAGAGCTGGCTAGCTTTTTCAGCTCCCTCACCCTGTGTGGGTTCCAAACCTGGCTAGACAGCAAACCATATGAAGGCTTTAAAAATATTTTTTTAAATGACGGCTGAACCCCAGACCCGAAGCCAACGATCCAGGCGGAGCCCAGGAACCCGTAGTTTTCAAAAGCTCTCCTGGCAGGTTTGGAAACAGCTCTGAGGGCCTTTGGCAACTGACATCAAACCACTGAGCTCACGGGCAGGGGCAGGGGTCACGCTGCATTCGCGGGAAAGAGGGCCGAAGGAGGAGGGATGCAGGAGGTAGTGGCATCCTCCTCCCAATGACATCCGGGAGATGGACCGAAGGGGCCAGGGCCTCCGGGACTCCGTGAGTGGGGGAGCCTGGAGCGGGAAGGGATGAAATCCCCCCAAATCCGTCCCCTCCCCACCTGATGAACTTGTCGAAGACAGCGGCGCACTCCCCGGGCTCCTGCAGCAGCACCTCGCTCTGGTTGCTCAGCAGCTCCCGGAACCGCTGGCTGTGCAGGCCCAGCAGCAGGCGGTGGGCGTGGAAGACGCGGACCTCGTCGGTGCCCGCAGCCTGCACCCGCAGCACCACGTCGCTGGCGTTGCCCTGCCGCAGGAGCTCCTGCAGGCGCTGGAGCAGCCCCTGGGAGTGGTTGATGGAGGTGCCCGCGGCCTCGCCCCCGACATCGGCTCTCTGGGCTGCAGCAGGAAGGAACACAGCGCAGTCTGCGAAGGCACCTGGGCCTGGGAGCGGGACCACCTGGAGATGGGTGTGCCTGAGTGTGGGAGAGGATGGTGGGCCTGGGGACGCTGTGCGCACACTGTCTGTGCCACGAGGTGCGTGGACTCCTGTGCGTGCACACAGCACATCCTGGTGGGGAAAGTTGAGAACCTGGCCCTGAGCAGGCCCTGAGGGGATGCTCTTCAAAAGGAGGTGGGTTCCTGGCAGAGGAGGAGAGAGGGCAGGAACCGGTGGGAGACAGACGCCCAGAAGGGATCTCTTTGATGCCAGACCCCTAGGCAAGGGTTGAGGAAGCCCTCACTCCCTGAGGAGTTATCAGAAGTGATACACTCACCAACACATATTTATTGAGCTCCTACTACGTGTCAGACACTCTCTGGGGAGCTTGGAATATGGCTGTGATCAGACAAGCCAAGTCCTTCGCACAGAGTTCACAGTAAGTACACAGGCCAGCGCTCCAGTTTTCCATTGTGGTAAACAGGGGAGGTGAGCATCGTGGGGGTGGGGCTGCTGTAGCTCCAGGAGCCAGCTGGAGGAGGAGCACGGAGGCTGAGAGCCAGCCGCTGGAAAGGATGGGCGTGGAGTGCTGGGAGCCAGAGGGCCGGGGGCTGGAGGCGGTGGCAGGGCTGGAGCAGAGCGGGAGCCAAGGCACGCGGGTGCCATTTCCAGGCCCAGGTGCCCCCTCGGGTCCCCCTCTGTGAGACAGGGTCCATGCTCGGGGGCCCGTCGGGGACCAGAGACAGTGCAGAGGCTGAGCCGGTGCTGGCGTGCTGGCATGGGACTCTCGCGGTACCTGCGGGTGGCGGCTGGCATCCCCCTTCCGGGCTGGGCCCTCCTGTCGTGTTTCCAGGGACGCCATGAGGGTCAGATGGGGACATGGATTCATTTACAGGAAACTCGGCAACAGATGATGCTGCCAGCAGCTTCCCCAAGCCGAGGGGAAGGAGGGAGGGAGGGGCCCTCCAGGGAGGCAAGGGGGACATCCGACTGCAGTAGATGGGCACCTGCCCTCCCTCTCCACCCCCCGCCCCCCAACAGGCCCACAGCCCGTGTGAAATCAGAGCGAAGGCTCACAGGAGAGCAGTAAGGAAGGGGAGACAGAGGGAGAACCGGAGGTGACAAAGTGGGTTCGTTTCCCAGCCCCGCCTCCCAAGCGGTCACTTTGAAGGACTTGAATGCTGATGGCATCCCATGGGCCTCTGACTGGGCCAGCTGCCTGGGACAATGGGCATGGAAGGGTCTACTTGTGTTCGGGCCCCGCCCACCGGCCAGCCCCTCCTCCCCTCTGAGGCAGGCTGCCCTCCCCCCAGGCTGAAGGACTCTGTGCTCCTCCTGGTGGGCTGGACCCCACCCCCTCCTGCCACTGTGCAGCTAGGGCCGGAAGGTCCTGCCCCTCCTCCCTGACCCCCACCCCGCCCCACCCACTGCCCACTCACCTGCGCGCGTGGCCAGGCCCACCAAGGTCAGGATGGCCCAGAAGGTGCCCCAGGGCCCACGCTTGGTGCGGCCCAGCCTCAGCATCTTTGTGCCCCTCCCCCACGTGCACTGAAGGGACAGCGAAGCCAGACCACTCCTCTCACACCCCTCCTCCTTATATAGGACTGAGTACAAGGGGATGGCACCCCCTTCCGGACCAGCCTCCCTCCCCCACCCAGCCTCTGCCATGGATTGGTGGAGACTGGCCCCAGCTGTTGCCCAGGCAACCTCTTAAGCCAGAGAGTGGCAGCCCCAGGGGCTATTGTGCTGCCCTGGGCCCCTGAGCGGGGCAGATCCGGCGCCCTCCCCCCACATCTCCCACCAGCAGAGCTAGTCCTTTTTCTCCCGGGAGGGCTGGGCTCTCCTAGAGCAGGCAAGGGGCTCCAGGCTTACCAACAGCGCTGGCCCAGAGGGTCCCCAGCCCCCTCCCCCGAGCCCCAGGCGCAGCCTCTGCCCTGGCACAGAGCCCTTGGCAGCATCCTGGCCGGGGTACCATGGTGAGCAGGCTGCAGAGGAAGCGCCTGGGAGAGGGAGGGACTAGGCGGCTCAGGCTCCCGCCCTCGCTCTCACCCCTTTCCCATTCTGGGGTGGGTCAGCTCTCCAGCGAGGAGGGTAAGGGTGTCAAAGGTACCCTTCTAGAAAGAACCCGCTCATAGGTAACTGGTGTCATTTCTTGTTTTGTTTGTGGAAGAATGTCCTGGCACAGTCTAGGGAGGGTGATGGGCTGTGACCGTCATCCCCCCCAAAAAGTCAAGATGAGCCAAGATGGCAGGGCTGGGCATAGGCAGGTGCACTCTATCCCGTGTGCCCACCCCTGCCCACCAGCACAGCCTGGGCGTGGGGCCTGGAGATGCTGAGGTGCACTCCTGTCCCCCTGCCACCCTCCCTTCAGGTCACCTGCCTCGGCGGCCGCGGGTCTCTAGGTTCCCCTCCTTGTGCGGCTTCTCTTCCGAGCTTCTGTCCAACTTCAGCTATAATGCTTCCCTTCCCAGAATTCCAAGGAGACACCCAGCAGACCTGGCACCCCACCCGCCCATAGGAGAAACCGAGGCAGAGAGCTAGGACCGATCTCTGTGAGTTCGTGAGTTCGTGCAGAGGAGTACACTTGTAAAAACACAGGAAAGGCAAGGGGAGGTGGAGTCTGAGGCCTGGGGGAGGGGAGGGTGGAGTTTGGGGCCTGGGGGACGGGAGGGAGGGGTCTGGGACTTGGGGGAATGGGTGGGAGCGGGTGTTGTTGAGACCTCACCTTTTTAGGGAGTGAGTGGAGCTTGGCTCAGTCTCAATGAGAGGGACTCCTTAGAGCAGCAGTTCTCAACCTGTGGGTCGTAACCCCTTTGGTGGATGAACGACCCTTTCACAGGGGTCGCGTTGATGAACAGAAGTGGGGGGGCGGGGGGGGCTCCCCAGAGATTGGGCTCGGAGTTTCTCTCAAGGCCAGGTCTTGTCTGGGCTGGGTGGGAACCTGCCCTCCCTTGCTCTCTGGATCCCAGGGACCAGCTGGATGCATCGATGTCCGCCCCTGCCCCTGGCAGGCACAGAGACCCACAGCTCCACCCCCTCCCTGGTGCCTCAGACAGAGCAGGAATTCGGCCTGGCACCTGCCGCGTCCGGGTTGGCAGAGATGGGGCTGTCCAGCCGGTGGAAACCCTTTCCGGCTGCCCTGACCTTCACTCCTGGTTCCCCTGGTTGACCCCGCCATCCCTGTCCACTGGCTGCCCCCTGCCCGCCATGGGCTGCCCCACCGAGCCTCAGTGTGTGTGTGTGTGGGGGGGGGCAGGGTCCAGGCCGCGCTGGGCGTCCTAGTTCCATGAGAAATACTTTCAATGGGAAAGTTACTGACGAGAAAGAGACAGTGATAAAATAGCCCACTGCTCAGGAAACGGTGCTTTGGCCTGCATGCCAGCAGTCTTTCTGAAAGCCGGTTCTTTCTAGAAGGGCAGCCCGCCTGCACCGCTGCTTTCAAAGCCTCCTGGACGCTGTCAGGTGCACCCAGGTCCAGCTCGAGCTGGATGGTTGGCATTCAGGTGTGCAGTGATTGGAGAGGCCCCAGGATCCCAAGGAGACTGGGGGGTCCCCTCTCATTCCATCCCTGGAGACTCCACTTCCTACTGTCTCTAACTCCCATCATCCATGGAGCTCCTCTGATGATTTAGAAACTGGCTTTCTAGGAATAGGCACTCTGTCTTGCAGTCTGAGGGTTGCTGGAGTGTGTGTGTGTGCGTGTGTGTGTGTGCACGTGCATGCATGTGTGCGTGTGTGCATGCATGCATGTGTGTACGTGCGTGTGTGCAGGCATCTTGGAGCAGAGAGGAAAGAGGCCCGGGGGGAGGGGAGGGAGGGCCCGGGAGATGGAGGATTGGAAATACTCTGTTTGTTTTGCTTGAGCACCTGGAAACTCCACGATTCCTTGAGAGCCGGTCTGAGGAGCTCTCAAGCTAGAACAATTCCTGCCCAGACGGCTCCTTCCTGCCCAGGACAGAGTGTTTATAACCTAAGCGACGTGGTCTCACGGCCAGGAACAGGCAGAGCCAGGACGCAAACACCGCCGCCTTTCGGCCCGACCTTTCTGGGAAGCTGTCACAGTTGCCGTAAATGGCCCTGCTGTGCAAGGACCCCCTAGCGCTGTAAGAGCAACTGCACACTTTTGAGCTCGGGGCAGGGAGAGAGTTTCTGAACCTGCCGAGTGGGGGGATCGGACGCTGGGCTGCAGTGACACCCCCCTCGGAGGGTGGGCTCCAGCCAGCCCTGCCCAGACCGCAGCCCCCCTTCCGCCTGTACCGTCTCCCTTCCTGAGCTGGGGTCTCCTCGGACACAGCTTGGGGGACGGAGTCACACGAATAACGCACACGGAGGAATCTTTCCCTGGAGTCACTCACACCATTGAACGCTTCCCCTGAAGCTGGGATGTCCCCTCAGGGGTGGCGCATCCGCTTTACTGCCTCTGCACCCCGTTGTGCTGTTCCCCCGACTTGAATGCCTTTCCCTATCTGAGTACAGTGGCCTTAACGTAGTTCCTGAGCTTCTCTGAGCCTTGGTGCACTCTTGTGTGAAATGAAGATACCAGGGTTGGGGGAGTGGGGAGTGGGGAGTAGGGGGGGGCTGCCAGGGGCGTGGCAGGGGTGGGGATAGAGTGGGTGCTCAGGTAATGGCCGAGCCCCGCACACAGCTGGCCTTGCTGACTCCACTGTCTGTGGCTCCTGCTCACCCAGAGCCTCGGGGTGCGGCCTGGGGAATTCTCTGCTTCCTGAGAGTTCGCTGCACTCGGGCCGGGGCCCTGGGCGCTCTTCCTGGGGACCTGAGTGGGTAGTTTCTACTCCGGTCCCCCTATCCACAGGTCCTGGCCAAAGCCGGTGGCCTCTCAGAGGTCTGCAGTGTCGGGACATGGCCACCAGGGGGCAGTAAGACTTCTGTGATGGCTGCAGGGGTGGCCCCGGAGGTGGGAGTGGGGGGAAGGGGGGTGTCAAGGTAGTTCCAGCCCCAGAGGAAGGATCTCACTTAGGGAGCCTGGAAGCCAGGCTGCTGTGTTCCGTGAGAGGAGTGGGAGGCGAGCGTGGGGAGGATAGCAGACTGGGCCTCAGCTCTCCTCCACGTCACCCCCGTCACCCCGTGTGGTCCTGGGTGCCCACTCGGGCCGCACTGGCCACTCTCCCCGGGGTGGGGGTGGGGCCTGGCCAGGGCGGAGTCCAGCCGCTCTGAGCGCTCACACGCCGGCTGGTGTTTATTTGCCAGTGACTGATACTCCTTGAGGGATGGTCCATTTCACCAGCCAGGAAAACAACAGCTTGCGGGGGCCACTGCGCCCCGGTTTCCCAGCGCCGCTGGCAGGCTGCTCACTGCTGAGTCCCCTCAGTGGTCACAGGGCCTCCGGACAGCCCCCGTGGCCGCCCCCTGGTCCCCACCGCCCACGGCAGCTGCCGGCCCCACTCCTCCAGGCCACAGGGTGGGCCG